TCCGTTCTTCAGCTACTATTCGTTTTTTCCAAAAATGAAATAATGATTTTTGGATACTAGATAAAAAATTGAAAAATAAATTTAAAAAAAAAAGATTAAAAAATTAACTCTTAACCGGGATTAACTCTGGACCCCACGGACTACACATAGTTGTGTGAACCAGGTGTGAACTGACCATGCAGCGCCTCGCACGTTGTAGAGCCGAATCTTATGCCTAAAGAACTTTTCTGTGGTTTTTCAACGGAACCTATTTTAGCCCAATGGACCGGGATCAAAACCCGGACTCTTCGGTCTACAAATTTCTAACTAGAACGCGTCACTTCTGGTCATGCCACGCCTCACATGCAGGTCGTCGGGCTACCAAAGCGAGGGTGCCATCCCCTCTGCAGAGGATCAAAATTGTGATGGCATGTCTTCGGCTCATCCTCAGGGATGTTTCCCAGACCGTCGCCAATAGCCCATTGTGCAGCTCTAGTGCGACGTAAAAGAACTACAACAACAACAACAACTTCTCTATAAGCGAGTGTTTTGTTTTAGCCCTTCCCTCAAGAAATAATCATTTACCAGGTTATGCTTCACATCTCTCCATTCACGAATTTACCCTAAACAGTGAGAATGTCCCTTGAGGTTAAACTTCTACACGGATCATTTATTTCAAGATTAAAGAACTCATGCAACAGAAATAGAAAGGAATAAACGTCGTAACCAAAACAAACGGAATAAAAATTAGGCTGAAAATTTAAATTTTTGTTTGTTTAAATAAGCTTCGAGAAATGAGAATAAATTTTCTCTAATTTTAAAAGACTATGAAGAATGGACCTCATTGAAGAAATCCTTATCTTAGGAATTCCTTTAAAGAACATTAAGCATATGTATTATCGTTAAAGAACATTTATAACATGTATGCTTTTGATGATTCTATATGCTTGGTTAGTTTTATTTCCACCCACTAAATGTTTAAATTAGTCATGGAACTAATATAAATGTTCAGTGGTATGCCATGCTTATTGTATTTTCTACTATAAATCACATTTTGAAATCTTAATCGCAAATTGCATACTAGTAATTTTTATAATGAAATACTGTAAAGTATTAATACTCAAGCAAACTCTTTGATTCTATGTTATGTAGGTTTTATAATTCTGTATAAAACTTAAATAATGCAAATATAGTTTTTTAAAAAGAGAATTGTAAAAAAATTTAAATTTCTGTTACATAAAAAATTGCAATTAGTTTTAAGTCAAATATGTTTATGTACGAATGAATTGCTTCTCAATTCTATTTGGTTTTTAGTATCACCCATTTAATTTAATTTGTTTCGGTTTTATTCATTTTTTTGTAATGTCCTGGAAAAAAATAAGTTTTTTCCTGTAAATATTCCTAACTACCAAAGAAAAGCAAAATTTCTTGATAATCAGGAATAAAAATTTTTTTACTACGAGGGGACTGTAGTTACAGACCATGTCAACCGTCATCTATGAAAAGGTACCCCGACATAGAATCAAGTTAGCATGCTTTATATACTAGTGAATGATGTTAAACTTTTGTAGTGGTTGTTACGCCCCAGTACTCCCCCACCAGAATTTTATCTGGGATATAATTCGATGAACAGATCTCACTAGTTGATGTACTTGTGAAAGACCGGGAGAGAGTCTCCGGATTTTTTGAGTGCTGAATGTGAGAGGTGTATTAACATCACAATCGAAGTCGCTCCTGTGTTGCCATTAGCAGTCGAGAGTATGCAGGCGTTGAGAGTGTAGACGTTGTGTGAATGTTCGAGACGAGACTGAGAAGCAACAGCGCAGGAGGTGAATGATGCATTCACAAATAGCAAGTCAACCGTACAATGTGGACTATCCATCGAAGTAGGCGTAACCGTTAAGAGATTGCGAAGTGGGCGTTACTTGCGTGAGCAAATCACGTTCGAAGGTCACCAATGTGGGGGGGGGAGTTATTCGACCATGCCAACCGTCATCTATCAAAAGGTACCTCGTGATAGAATCAAGTTAGCATGCTTTATATACTAGTGAATGATGTTAAACTTTTGTAGTGGTAGTTACGCCACACTACATTTCCATTTTTCTCCAGAAGGACTCTCTTTCAGCTTGCCCTTTGATTTTTGAGCCCACACACTCTATGGCGAAAGTTCTTGTTTTGTTTTGGTAAATTCTTTTACCCTTAACTGTTGAAGCCATTAGTTTTGTCACACCTTGTAACTACTAGCAGCTATGTAATTGATTTTGGTTGTATGAGCCAAATTTTTGATTTCTTTTAAATAAAACCTAGTTTTGTTTGCAGATATGAATAATTGAAGTTTGTTATTTTTGTGAAATATGACTAATTCATATGCCAATAATACTTCTTTAATGATACTACTTAAATTAAACTTAGGTTGTTTATTTTTTTAAAAATTTGTTTAAAAAGATGTGTGTTATTGAGGTATGTTTCACCTTTTTATGGGGTTGACAGATTTGACCCTGACACTTAAATGGTCTCAACAGAGAATTAAACTTCCACTAATGATTTTATTTGTTTAACTGCAATAGCTTAGCAATTTTTGGGCATTTAATTTCTAAAGAAAAATTAGCAAATCCACCATATAAATTCAAATTAAGTTTCAAGCATTTTACTTACCTAAAATATGTAAAAGTTATTACCAGTATACCAGTATATTACCAGTTTAAAAATCATGTTTGCAAACTCACTGCTCAGTGAGTTTGCAAACACATTTTTTAAACAACTCTCACAAGTAAAAACATCATATTATATAAACAAGGTATTTCTGAGAGCTTAAATAACTTCAGCTTATACTTTTCTCAAAAAAAAAAAAGAGAAAGGAAAAAGCTCAAAATCATTTTTGAAAATTGTACCATTACTGATAATACTGATGATCATAAAAAATAAAAGTAAGGAATTTTAAGGAGTAACACAATAGACTTCTTTATACAATCTTCCAAGTTTTGTATAAAAGGCTTACAGATATATTAATTTAAAATTTTTGATTTATTTTCAAAACAGTTATTGTTTAAAAAGTATGTCGATGAATTTAAAATGTTGTGAAAAAGAAAACAAATTTTAAAAAACCAGCTATGTTTATTAGAACTCCTTAGACTGCCCCAAAACTATTGCTGTTCAGAAATGAGATTTATCTATTTATATCTTATAACATCATATACAGGCTTGAGTTTTTGTATTTTGAAATAAAAAAGTTAATTTTTGCTGTAAATCATCTTTATAGGAAAAACAACAATTTGTTTAGTTTCTATGGACTTTTCTCCTTTTTTTTCTTAACATTCTAGTTCTAGTCACATTAGTCACTAGTCTTCATTCTAGTTAACAATTAAATTACTAAAATCAACTCTAGAAAATTTCTAATACTTATGTACAGTGTTTATGTTTTGTAAATATATTTGATTTTAACGAATCTTTCTCATGGTCAAGGGAAAAGAAAAAGATCCTAAATACTTTTTATATTTTCTTTTTAATATAGTATGCAAAGAAGCACAATATTTGTTCAATATATCTCTACAAATAGTTCACAGCCAGTGGCACACAAAATTTTTTTTCTTTCTTTCTCCTACGCCCACCTGTGTAAACATTTTCGTCAATTCAGGCATTTACAGGGCAGATTAGTTGGCCTCTCTTTCAGGGGCACCATATTAGGTGAGCCAACGTTTGGCACGCAAACATTTATTTCACGTTTTTCAATAAATATATTTATAATTTTTAAAATTAATGTTTGTTTTGTTTTATCTATTTACCTGTATTTTTAATATTTCAAATTAATTTTTTTATATGTTTAAATTAGCATATTTTTATAAAGAATTCTAAAAACTTTGAAAAAATTTTTTTAAAAGTTTTGAAATATTTTTCATAAAACTTTTTTTTAACTTTTTAGTACTTATTTGTTATTTCCTAATGTGATCTATTATGTCATTTCATTTTCAATATATAACTGTGTTTGTGTCAGTTTCCCCCCCTTTAATATTATGAAATGAAAAAAAGGTATTGTAATTTTCTTTTATTATACATATTTGCCACAAATTTTGCACTTTTAATTTGTCTCATACATAAGGGAAAACTGTTCTTTTCTAATCAGTTAGATATAGAATTTTTATTTTTCTATTTCGATCCTTATGAAACATACACTTAATTGTAAAACTTATACTTAGCATTTTAATTTTATTTATTTACTTTTAGTTTTTCATTTTTTGATATTCATAATGCATATCATTATTATTTAAAAGATTTTATTTTTCATATACTATGCACACACAAAGCCACCAGAACAACATATTATAATGGCCCCACTCTCTTTCTTTTTGTTAACCAGCACAAAACTTGTGTGAATAACCCAGAAAACCTTTCAGTGGCCTCAAACTGAATAGCACATTTAAATTCAGTGCCACATAATGTAATAAAATTTTGTTTGATATTATGATTTTACGCTACACACGGTGCCATCTCCTTATTAGTGTGCAAAAAATTAATCATTAAATCTTAAGTTATTCAGTTTTTTATTTATTTTTTGTAAATGTTTTTCTTATTTGCAGTTACCTGAAAAACTGCATATTTTTTCAGACTACTAGCTTTCAGGATTTGGGTGCATTATCCAAGTGCATTAATATGTGGATCCATGCACACATTTTATGCAACTCCCAACACTGTTTCTTCTAGATTAACAATTTTTTAGTATGAGTGATGAATAAAAATGTCATGATGAATAAAAAGCGAAAGAATTCACAATTATTTGCTAAAAATTATAGTTTGTATATTAAAAAGTAAAATAAAAATCACCTAAAATTTCCTAGAGTTAAAAAATTTATTGTAAGGCATCACACATAGTCAAATTGTTGTTTTTATGTTAAAGTTCATTAATATTTTTAATCATTAAATTGTTACATTAATAACTGTTTTAATAATATGCCAATTTGTTCTAAATTAAAACTTGCAAGCCATTTTTCAATAATAAATTTTAAGATGGGTTCATCAATAATTTCTACAGGAAATTGTAACTAACTTTCTAGAAAATTTTTATGAATATCTTTGCGAAATCTTATATTCCAATTTAAACTTTGTTTTATAGTATTTGTGGCAATGATACTTTATTATGCTAATATGCTTGATTTGATACTATATCAATATTCTCAAACCAATTAATATTGCACCTTAGTATGAGAAAATCTGTTCACCAGATTAACAATTATTCACAGTGTTCTTTTTATGCATTCTCCATAGTCTTTATGCTAATATATTCTTTTGCTGAATTGTTACTAAATTGTTAGTATAAATTTTTTACAGACTTATTCTGAAGCTTTGTGTGATTTTTGGAAAAATTTGTTTTAGCTAAATGAAAGAAGAAAAGAAAACATAGTTGTTCATTTTAATCCAGTTAACAAAGGTATTAATTCTTTTATTATTTTAAATATTATAAAGGGAGAGTAAGGGGAAAGTGGGTGCCTTGATTGTGTCAAAATTAATTCTGTTTTTCAGTGGCCAAACTCTGAATTACTCTTCACTAGTCAAAAAAATGCACCTATCATATTGTTGGGGATTAATTCAATGCATCTGTGTAGATGAGCTTTTTTTTCCGTATCAACTTTAATGTTCTTTTGTTTTTAAATCTAGCCTTATTACAATTATAAAATTATTTTTAGTTCAGCTTAATATACGTTTACCAATAATTCATAACAAACAATAAGGTTCATTAGTATCACTGTTCAGTATAACCTCTACTCTTGGGGTTAGACAGGGTAACACCCGATCTTTCTCCTTGATGTGTGTCTACGCTGAGCCCACGAAAGCTACAAAACACTGAAAGACGAAAATAACTGCATTCAAGATTGAACAAAAGTTTCATGGAACAAAGTTTATTGCTTCTTCCAAGCAAAAAACCTTATTTTCATATTTTGTGTAGTTTTTGAAGACAGCAGAATTGTAGTTTATACTTTGATATAAAAAATTCTCTGCAATTTTCTTTTAAAAAAGTGCTATAGTTTTCGTAATGAATTTTGGTCAGGCCCCCAGATGTTTGGTCAGCCCCCTCCCTTGAGTACAGTCTTGACTACATTACATGTAAATTGCTTGCATAATTTCCCTAAATTTCCTAATAAAAGGGAAATGTCTGCTACTTTTTTCTTGAAATTCTAGTAATTCTAAATTTTCCATAGAGTTAGCATTTATTCCTGGTCTTACCCCACTAATGGGGTAAGACCGGGTGATTCGACTTTTTCTAGAAAAAAATCATATATAACGAAAGTTGTACATGTGTGACTTTTCATGACTGTTATCTTGTACAAAACTAAACAATGGATATCTGACAGTTTCTATGTTGAGCAGATCAGCTCCAACACCCTTTAAATCTTAGCTAAACGATCTTTCCCCACTTTTCCCTATATCTGAGAATGAAAGACTGTGATATTGAACTAAATTTATGTATTATTTTTTTAATTACCCTTTTTTTAATAAACTTTTATGATTTAATGATATCTCACTGACATGTATATTTTTTTCCATAAAATTATAATTCTCTATTTATGTTGTGTTTTGTGGATAAATTTACAAATTAGATCACTGAAATGTAACATCACAAAACCACTTATGTATGATCTTTTGTGATGACTACTTGTTGTCATTCTATAATCTATAAAACAAAGATGGCAAATCTACGGCACTCGTGCCACTAGGTGTTCAGATGTAATGGTGGCACACAACAAGTATACTATAAATTGCTTTATTTGCTTACATTTACTGCAAAACGTTTTTAAAAAATCTCTAAGACTGACAACATCAAAGGTTGATTCAGAACCGAGTACCATTGTGTGCAGAAGTTAATATGCAGTTATTTTATGATCTTTTGTCTATTTTAACTAGAATTCTTAAAATTTATATCTAAATGTGCTTTAAAAAATCACAACTTCTCTGAGTTGTTACAGGAAATAGAATCTCAATAGGACAAACTTTCTATGTTGTATACAAATTCTTCTCAAATTTGAGGAACTTTTAGATGAAATTTAATTTTTCATACCATAAAAAGAATTTACTTAATTTATGGGTTCAATTTAATTGTGTGATTTCATGTTTTTTTTTTACATATGCAGCACTATCAACTGATTTAACTTAGGAATAGCAAAGAAAAGTTTAAACTGAAAATATATTGTTTGAGATCCCTGAAGTGCAAACTTGATATATATTCCTTAAAGGAATAGCGAGTTTCGCTGATTTATCTTCTAAAGGCAGAAAAATATTTTTAAGAGCTGTTTGGATGTTACAAAATTCAGTTGAAATATTATCAATGCTATTTTCTCTATTTTGTAAATTTTAGAAAGCATGAAAGTTTTGTTTTAAGATCTCCTTGCTAAAATGAATGATCATTAAATTTCACTTTTTTTAGTGCTTTAATATTTTGGAAAGGAAACTGACAGAATGATCTTGGTAAAGCATTAGAAGAACTTAAGAATACAGATTTGAAGAATTGAACACAAAAAATCGGGTAATTTAATCCTTAGAAAATTGAATATTTTAATACTTGTTTTTAATGTGATATTATATATTTATTTATAATGTAATATAAACGCAATTTGAAAAGTAGTAAGTGCATTAAGAAGGCATCTTAAATTGAACAAAATTTTTTTAGAAACTGAAAGAAAATAAATTCAGATTAAAATAATATTTTCAGTTGTATTGATGCATTTAATTTTCCATGCTATAAAAAATTAAAAACTTTTAACATTAACTATTTTTTTCGCTTACAACGGCCTTCTTCAGTGCAATTTAAAAATCTTAATATCAAATTGAAATATTTTCAAAAAAATTTATTCAACTTATATCTGATACAAGTTAATCCTACAACAGAAAATTAAGTAATAAAACATAATTTGATAGTTTAAAATCACAGTAAGGGTTTAAATATTTGTTTTAAAATGAAATACAATTTGTGGTATACTGGACACTTAAAAATAACAAACCAGAACCATAGTTTCATTGGTAAGAAAAAGGTTCATCATCCATGTTGTTTATAGCTTAATAAATTATGAAATATGTTTTTGATGAACCACTTTTGAAATGACCTTAACTCTATTGTTGAGATTTAAAAGCATTTAAGTTTTAGCAAAAACTTTTAACCATTCATTTTATGAATTTATAATTTTTCATGAAAATTTTTTATTTGAAATTTTGATTAAAGGATTTAAAATAAAGAAGTTCAATAATTGCAGAAACTCTTTATTATTATTTAATAACAAATCTATAGTATATTGCACATTTACAACATCATGAGTATGCTAAACATCTTCTGTGGAATTCAATTTGCATGAAAACTATGGAAACAGCTCTTATTCTTTGTGAAGTAAAACCCACATTTAAAATTCCTAATTGAGACCCGAAGGCCATATATTGGACACTAGATGAACATTTTCAAATTCAAGAGGATTGATTCAAACAGGATACATAATGAACATATTGTTATAAATTTACAACTGCATAAAATGAAGGGTTGAAAAGTTTAAAATGCTTTCAAATATAATTAAAATTAGCTATGTTAGGCCAGAAACTGTAATTGCCTTATAACTACTAGATAATAAGTCAAGTTTCTACTGATAGGGACAGCTTTTTGTTCTATCTTACATCAAATATGCTGCAATTTATTGTTAACTAACTGATCAGTCAAGATCAGGACATACTTCCTTTTATTCTATTGAAAGTAGAATTTCTTAAAATTTTTGAATTATCATTGATAAAAGTAATGTTAATCTAGAGGGTCAGATTCAATAGCCATTTCATCATTCTTGCTCTTAATACAGACGATGAAAAAAATTTTTGAGGATATTTTGAAATTGTAGGTTTGATGAAAAAATACTTCCATCACAAATGTTGAAGGGATTGATTCACTTTGACAAGAAGAACTGTTAGAAATTAGATATAATAAATATAAATTCAGTGATGATGAGTATGAAAACATTTGGTAAAAACAAAAAACCCTTTCTTATGTCCTAGTGTGCAGTATATTGATATTTCCATGAAACTATTTATTTTTAGAGAATAATTAAACGTCAACCACTAAAAGGTTTTCTTAAGGGAACTTAAGAACAAAACTTGGGTTTACATGTTTCAAAAGGATAAACAGAAATTATTGTATGTCTCTTGAAGGTGACGTTGATGAGAACAAGTAAATGAGACATAAATACAATAAGCAGAATTTTATTTAACAGCTGCAACTACTTGGAATCTTCCTGTATATTAACCACAAGTAAAGAAAGTATAGTTATGAAAAAAGTTTTTTTTATAAAAAGAAATCCAAAAATCCTATCTAAAAGTATATGAAAAATATCCATTTAGATTTTTTATGTACATATAATTTTTTATGTAGTAGATAAGCACATTTTGTCAATCTTCTTTGTTTAAGGTGCCTTGGGCTTCTTTAAGCTATGCATTTGGCAATCTCTGATAATAAATCCAAAACTTTCAATAAATTGTTTAAAAATTATTCTTACACTTAAAATATTTTTTTGCATACAAATTACTAATCTTTTGAAATTGTAATTTTGTTCCCAAACTGTTGAGCTGTAATGTATCTTAATTTTAAGTGAACTGATTGTTCATATTTTAGAGATAGATTGATTATATCATAATAATGTTGAGCCAGGCATGATGATAAATATTATTGAATATATTGATCATAGATTTTCTTCCTTTTTTGCTTTTTCTTATTTCTTCTTAATTTCAAGAAGGTGCATAATAAAAACGGATATAAATATGGCTTAAAATAAAGATATGGAACAGAAGGGATAAGTGAAGTATTTCAAAACTTGAAATTATATCTGTTAATGATAAACTATTAATATTATACAGGACATGCCATAGCTGTTTTGGAGGAAAAAAATAGAACTTGTTTGGTAAAATAAAACTTCGGTAATATGTTTCTCAAAATAAAATAAACAATGCATTAATAGCAAATTAAATAATGCTGGATATTATGTGAAATAAAATGATACGTAACATTAAAAAATATGGTACCTTTCTATTTCTCTTATGCAAGTAATTTCGGCTATTTTATCTATCTATTTATTTAAAAAAAATTCTCTTAAAATTAAAAAAAAAAATTTAATTTACTTGCACTCAGTAAGCTTGCATTTGGGACTTGGAAAATGGAAAAGTACCAAAAGTATGCTTTATAAACATATTCAGCAATTTCATTTTCACTTATTTGTCTCCATACCATTAGTTGCTTTAAAATATAAATAGTTATTGAGCTATCAATTAAAATTATTTCTTATTGGGAGCTAATTTAATGATTTGTTATTTTTTAAATTTGTACTTTAGTTCCTTATTTAATAATATTTGTAATTAAACATTTTACCCCAATTCTTAACCTTTTAAAAGAAAGGAATTTATGAATAATCCCTTACTTCACCATTTTCAAACTTCTGTAATTGTTAATTGGATTAAATTAGCATTTCAAGAAATCAATTAAAATTTTTAATCTGAATTCCCCTTTAAAATATTTTTGATGAAAATTTTATTAATCAAGTTATACCATCCTACAAGTCCTGAACTATAATACAAGTTGTACAAGTCAAGTTATACTATAATACAAATCCTAAAAAAAATGCAGAAACAACAAATTGGGTACAACAGATAATTTCTATCACAATTTGTGTCCCTCAATTCTACAACATGCTATGTTAGAATTGTTAATTAAATCATTTATCAAAATCAGGCACAAGTGGTACACACATTGAAAGATTATATTACTATAATTGAAAGACTATAATTGAAAGATTACTGTTATTTATTGTTATCAGGTGATATTCTGTCGTATTGTAGATACTAACTTTCAATTCAAATGCCATGAATTGTTTATATTTTCTGATTCTGGAACATCTATTCCACAGAACTTTCCGTGAAAGGATTACAGTGGTTCAAAAGTTTTTTTTTAAAATTATATTTACATGCATTCAACAATCTGTAATTTAATTAATATTTTGGTTGTGAATATGAACTTACTTATGTAAAATGCCAAAGAGAAGAAACAGCAAAATGTTTTTTTTTTTTTTAAAAAAAAGCATTATTTTTTAACAATAATATTAAATAAATTTTGTAAAGAATATGCATTTATAAAAAATTCAATGCTTATCAATCTTTTTCAATTAAAATAAAACAACTAGATTGAAGAATAAAGAATTGCAATTCTCCAATCACTATTCTCAATGTTTTATCAAAGTTCTTTTTTAAAACTCATAATTAAATCAGATTATTTTATTCATTTTCATCATAAGCAGACTGCAAGTACTAATTCATAATTTCAAATATTTCATTCTTTACATTAAATATATGCAAAATAATTCGTCATTGCTACTAATTAACTTTTTTTGTTGTAATGGGGTTCCATAGCCATAAAAAATTGGAAACAGCTGTTTCAGATAATGAACCTTATCTACAAACATTTGGAACATAAAAGGGGTGTAGATTGTCATCTGCTTATAATCTTCCACACACCCATTAAGAGGACGCTGTATCACGGGAGATACTTTTTGTCGCTTTCACTTCCATAACTAATTTTAAACTGTAAAAATAGTGAGCTCAGACAGAAATGGAGTAAGCCATGAAGTTTCAAGCACTGAAAAAAAATCTTTTATAATATGTCAAAATAAATTATAATGAGATAACTTAGGATTACGCAACGGCAAAGTTCTCTTCCAATGATTTGTTTGCATTTTTATATTTAGAATTTTTTTTAATCAAATGAAACTTCATGACACACTGTAGGTTTGCCTGAACTCTTTCTTCCCTTTAAATTAGTAATGGAAGTGAAAGAAAATTTACAACGAAAATATTCCCCCTTGGCATGGCATTCTCTTAAGTAAAAGTCAACCATCACTGGTTGCGATCTGTGAGCGGGTGGGTGACCACTTTGATCGACCTGCATAGGAACCAAGGGTGTGCTGTATCAGTCCTCGTTAAATTGCTCTACCATAAAATGCTCAACTTGGCAGCTCTAGTGCAACGTAAATAAAGTACCTACCTTAAATATAATAAAAGACTTATAACAGTCATTACCCCGTGTGAAGTACAGCTAGTTTCTAAATTGTGTTTAAATTATTAAAGTGTTTTTTTCTGTAAAGTATTTTTTTAAGGGGTAAGCCCCCTGTTAACTTATACTACTCTTTCCCTTTAAAGAAGTACTGCCTTACCCTTTGTCAGTTACACTATAACCACAAATGATGAATTTAAATTATTATTAAATATGTAAAAAAAAAAGTCTTTCCTTCTAAGTAATCAATAAGTTAAATTTGAAAAATTTAATATTTTTTCATTATATATTTTTAAATTCATATTAATTATATACTTTTTAAATTTATGCCAGGATGATTTTCATTTTACTAAGTATGATTGGAGAATGTGCATTCAACAACATTGCTTCTACTCCAGAAATGAAGGTGCCCTCAAGTAAGTATAATGCTTCTCAATTGTTGTGATTCTCTGTAAGATCGCCAACACATGCAAAAAAGGCCAGATTTCTTATTTAAAAAGGTCACTGGCTGTCCATAATTCGCATTGGGATTAATAATGATAACAATTATGGAAGAGCTGTGATGGCTCCAGCATTTCAAATCCCAACAATGGCTGGTCGTTACAAATTCAGCACCCGGCTCACACAGACAGCAGTGCTGTCGTGAAATATCCTCAGAGGAAGACGGATCATGAGTCCCCTTGCCGTCAGATTAACCATGGGAGGTTTTCCTCTCCATGTAACGCAAATGCGGGTTAGTTATCAAAAATTCCTCCACAAAGGCTTTCCCCATTACTTGATCTGGGAGTTCCCTTGTCTTCTGGATTGTGTTCAAAATGACAAGGCTACAGAGCTGAACGTTGGTAGTCCCAAAAATTGGGTTGGCTGTTCAACGACGGTTACAAAACAATTATGGAATGCAACAATAATCATTGTTAACTGTAATGATCAAATATGATAATTTTGCAATAGTTATCGTTTATCTGTAATAACTAATATGAAAATATCACTACTATGATAGCAGAAAGGATAATTCTTGGATTTGATACTACTGTAATGCTACGAGTGTTATTAAATTTAATTTTGGTAAGGAAAATATGTTACAAGATAAAAAATAATATAAACTAGTTTTTACTTTACAAAATGAATTAATGTTATGCAAAATTATATATATATATATATTTTATATTTTGAAATTACTAGAACACTACAGTAAAAGTCAAAGCTGAAGCAAAAAAGGGGATGAGGTGTTGCCAATTTCTTATGTTAGTATTTGAGGGGGCTAGTTATTTTATTATTTTTGATGACATGAAGAGAGGGGAATTCCAAAATGACCATCAATAGGCTTATGTGATATGTGAATAGCCCCTATTGCTTTAAAATGAGGAAATGAAACAGTGGTAGAGATGGCCTAATTGAAATTCATTGTGTCTGTCTTTTTTTTTTTTTTTTTTTCTCAAGGAAAAAGTTGAGTCCGCCATTTACAATATGTTTGAGCTCTGAATTTATATAAGCTCTTGATAAGTAAATAATGCTGTTATATTAAAAATTAAAAAACAAAATTGTAGTTGAGAAATATCTTTTGGAACCATCACATGCAGATAATTAATCATTATGAATATTCTCTACTTTTTTTTCTTTTTCTTTAGTTTTATATTTCTGATATTTGAAATAATTTTAAATTTTTTAACTCAACATTAAAAATAAGCCGTCATTTACCAAATCAACATCACCATCATTTATAAAATTTCATATGCTATAAAACATTTCATGTATCATTTCTAGAGTAACTTAGTTCAACTTTAATGTTAGATTAAGATTAGCTGACTCTGGCGTCACATGTGTGGGTATGGGAGGTCTTCATCTTGAAGTGCCCAATCGAACTATCCTCACTGCTTTTGACTGTTTTTATTAGTAAATTTTGCAGAATTTAACACTGGGGCATCAATGTTAGAATAACATAAAATAATCAATTGTGAAATAACCAAAGTGAAATGTTCTACTTATTTAATATGACTATCCAAGCTTTTATTTTAATAATTATAAATTTGTATTTTCAGTGTATCATTTGTATATTCCTGAGCAAGAACTAAAGCCACCTAATATGTGAGTAAACAATTTAATGTGTCATAAAAATTCTGTACATGGATCAATATAAAAACTCATTTTCAGTTCGAAAAATCCCGAAAAAGTAATGGGAATGAAAAGCTTTGAAACTTTTTATATTAATAGATGCATGTAATGGCATGAAAAGAAAAATATATGTCCTCTAAATTTTACTTAATATTTAAACAAATTACTTAATTTCTGAATTTTTTAAAGTGAGGAAATGATGTTTTATTATATTTATTATGTTATAAACACAAAATGAATTTTTTAATTTCTGTTATGTTCTGATTTTGCTTTACATTTTATTTTCAGTTTTTTACGTGATATATTTTTTTTTCCGAGTACTTCTCATACTACTGATATATTTTGCTTTGGCTATATTGATACAATATTAGAAAGCACTCCTTTTTGCAAATATGATCGTGTGAGCAGATGAGGAGATTATATCTAGACTTTTTTGTTTTCCGGCTTTTTAATATGTATATCTTTTTAATTTTTTTTTAAAAATTACTTTATCTTATTTTAATAATTTTTCTTCTTCTCTTCATTAATCTTTGTATTTTCCATGTTTTCTCCATAGTTTTAACTTGATTTATGAGTTCTATATACTTGCAGCTTTTGCACAGTAAATAAAATTTATTATTTTTCTTAATTTTCTTTCTTTTTTTTATCCTTTTGTTCTTTATTGTGCTATATATTAAGAAGTTAATTCAATAACAAAACTGTAGTTAAAAAGTAAAGTATTAGTTTACATTTTATTATTATTTTTTTATGAAATCATTTTTTCCAATTTTACAGTATTATTCAATATTCTGAATTTGTATCTAGCTTATAAATAAGAATTACAATTCAGTTTTTCTTTTATCTAAGTTAGTACAAACTTGAATTTTCTGTATGATACTTATGATTTAAGGATTTGCAAACAATGAAATTAATAAAAATACAAAAACTGCAAATCATTTCATTTCCCTTTTGTTGAAAATAATCAAATGTGCATCTTAACCAAAAATAATTCTTTACAGCTTCCATTTTATTTGTATTACAATTTTTTTTGCAATTCAGGGTTCAAAAATTTTAAAAATGCATTGGTATAGTGTGAATCTCATTAATTTCTAAAAATAAGTTGATCAAATTCGATTCGGTATGTTAAATATGATGTAGTGATGTAGAAATGAATAAATTTTTAAATATTTTCAATTTAATAAAGAATCTTTGCAACTACAATTTTATAAGCATAACTGCAAGCTTGTGACGTAGGGATAATTTTTGCACAATGATAGTACAATAATACAAAAAAAATTTTTTATACATTTATTGTTTCTTTTTTTAATGAAATGACTGTAAAATAAACAAAACAAAAAAAGAAACATTCAGAGTTTAACTTTTAATTTAATAAGAGTGATAAATATAGTAAAAAAATGCATAAATTAAATTTTTTTTTTTAACGTTTTGCATGTTTCTTTTTTTAATAGATCAGAAAAAAATTAAAGAAAGTTTTGTTGAGCAGAAAAAAAGAAAAAAACACATTTTATCTGACTTTTAGTTGCTATATGTTGCAAATTTTTATTTAACCCACTGGCGGATAAGGAAATGGGCAAAATTGGGAGAATGTTTCTCACCTACACACAGTTCCCCTATCCATTAAAATGGGAAAACCGGTTTTGCTATGCAGAAAAGACTGCAGGCTAAAATGCGACTTATTACGTGCAGAACGGTCAGTGGGTTTAAGGGAGTTCCTTTTCTTCTTTTAAAAAAGTATTCTCAAATACGCATATTGTTAAATTACATAAAAATTAAACAAATCAAATTTTATTTTTTATTTCACAGTTTAATTCCAAAAATTTCCTTTGATAATTTGTATAAGAAAGCAATAACTCTTTATTTTATTTATAATTTGCCATGATTATTAAAATACATAATTTATTTACATAAAATTGTGTCATACTTTAATGTTTCTTTATAGATTAAAATGAGATTTAAATTCCTTTCACATTAAAAATTATCTTTTATTCCATGTAACCATTTTTAAAAATTATTTTATTTTTTTCAGGTTTCAACCTTCATTTAGTAGCAAAACTTTGTCAATAAAAGTAAGTACTGTTTAGTATTATAATTTATTATTATTTGCTATTTTACGCTTTATAGCTGAAACTTTTTTTCTAGTATGGCGGGTTTTGTATAAATTAAATTAATTTTTTCCTAGACTATGCTGACTTGTTACAATGAATTTTAGTACTTTTTTTCATAGCTTACTTTAGCTCTCTTTCATAAGAATCAATTTCTAAATTTCATTCAGGGTAAGAAATAAAAAAGATTACAACTGAGTGTTAGTAAATTTTACTTAAAATAGCAATTATAAATGATAGATATTAGCTATTGCATTAATAATTTATGCTCATCTATTTTTTACTCAATTATTGAACAAGGACGAATAGTAGACTTGGAATCAGCCAAAGGTGAATAATGGATGGGCCAGCTGAATATTCTTTAAATATCTATTTGTAATGATAAATATACCATAATTTCGTTGAGTTACACCACCCTGGGATGTAAGCTGCACCCGCCAAATTAGGCTAAAAATGAAATGTTTTTCATCAGAAATGCTGTATATAAAACTTTACTACACAAACGATAGTGTAGTTAACGCATCTGTTACAAATAATAAATTATTAAACTCTTAAAGTCATTAAAATAATTATTAAACATGCAGTAAATTAATAAATGTGATCTTATTTTAAATCCCAAATTATGCATTTCGATAATTTTCATCATAACATTTAAAATGTGCGCACAGTTGTACCGTGTACGATTGTGCATATTTCAAATGCAAAGCAATTGCAGATGCATTAAATAATAATTTAAAATACTCCAGTTTTATGTAAACCAAGTGATTATGGACTTAAAAATAAGATAAGTTAATTAAATTTTAATAAATTGATGTAAAGAATCTTAAAGGAACTTTATGTAGGATATAGAACAATTGCGATCGCTTCACATAACTTAATCATAAAAAATCCTTACAGTGATTCTAAATAATATTAATAATAATTAAATAAAATAAAATATAAATCTCCAAGAAAAACCACCTCCGACCTCTTCTATTTACGGCCACTTTTGGAAGGCACAGAATTTTTTTTATTGACTTTGTGTTGAAAACACCTTTAGGAAAGAGCAATAAAATCTCTCTGCACCAAATTCAGAAAAGGTCGAAATAAAGAAACATGAAAAAATATCTAAACAAATAAGTATAATATTTATTCTTATGTATTTAAAATATTTGTGTGTATTTATAAAAATATTGTGTCTCATGTAGAAACCTCTAAAAACTATATATCTCAAATAAATAGACCTCTTTTTTATCTTTGATCGAATTTTTATGATATGAAATTAAATGCAAGCTTAAACAAAAGATATAGTTGTTAATTTATTTAAAAAAATTCGATCAGTCATAATTGGTAAATTAGTTTTTACACATAATTATATAAACTAGTGGGCTGCGCCTCCTGCTCGCTAACGCTTGCCGACCCCCGAAAATTGCTACGCAATTTTATATGGTTTGCTTTGCAAACCATGCTCGCTACTAACTTAGGTGCATTGCAAATACACAAAATTCTAAGAATTCAAACCTATCATTCAAATACATATAACAACTTTTTTTTTAAAAAAAAAATTACATCTTTTTAGTAAATACTAAGTAATTAAAATAAATTTGAATTCAAATAAACATGTAATTCGTTAAACCTATTAGAAATGTGCTATAGAATAAAATCTTAAAGTGTAACAGCGCGACTGAGACTCATTTTTCAATGAATGACTAATAACAATAATAAAACAAATAAATTCGTAATATATAAATTTGTGGAAAAAAAAGCGCTTTAGACAAAACACTAAAATGGAGATCTATCAGCAAAGACTACTCACTTCTGCCTAGCTTAAGGTTATTTCAGTTTCCGTTTTTAAAAGTGCTATATGTTACGCCACCTCAGCTAGATTTGGCATATGACATTTTTAGCGGCAATCATTGGTCGATTTTCTAGCGTTGCCATTCGGGGAGTTGTAATGAGGCTTTTTTTGTCGCCGTGTAAGAGAAATATATATATAGATAAAGGATCATTTTAATTGAGTCTGAATTTTATTCATCAATCCAGTTTTTCTGGCACTAACACAAGTAGCATTTTTGCAACAAGAAAATGACACCAACTGAAATTAAAATCGTTTGTGAAAATTATATAATTTCAATAACATTTTGAAGTCAATGGAAACAGAAAAGTGCTCAAATTCTAACCAAGCTATATGCGTTTGCATACCAATGGTGAGGATACAATTGTTTATAATTAGTAAGTTGTTGCTATTGTGATGGAGATCTGTGAAAAGCACACAATGTGATGCTTTTCACAGACACATGTGAAAAGCATCACATTGCGTCTGTTGTTTACCTACACAAAATTTTTGAACAAGGTGTTTTTTAATCTCTTCAAAGAAGAGAAAATTTCCACAAAAACTTCAAATACTTTTTTTCTGACAGCTTTGATAAAATTTTGAAGTTGAAATTTTTAATTATAGGATGTATTCCTCGTTGAATATGTGGTATGCTCATTATAAAAAGACTTTTTAACATTAAATTAGCCATTTATTAAAAATTAATTTAACTGTCAATCTTGGAATCTCGTTAAATAGAACTCGTATTGACTGAATTCAGGTATTTAAGAAAAATAAATTTTTCTTAAATTAGTTTATTCTGAATTTTTTCTTTTCTTTTTTCACCAGCTGAAAACAAATCACAGAGTGCAATTCGAGACTGTCATGAGTCACTAGGCATAAATAGTTTCATTGGTCTGTTGTTTCATTACTTTTTCCTACAGATTACATGTCATGGCAACATTGTTGCATAAAGATATATTTTGACATAAACATGGATTTCTATGCTTGCAAATAACTATATTTATAAGCTCCATGATTATAACTACAAATTAGTTTGTTGAGAAATGATCAAATAAGCAAAAGCATAATGTACAGGAGAGAATAGTGTTTTCCTCACTTCTTCACCCAGGGTTCCCACGGTCCTTAAAAGTCCTTAAAAACTGCTTAGTTTTTATTTTGAAAATTAAGGGCCCTTAAAAGTACTTAATTTTGATTCATGGTCCTTAAAAGTCCTTAATTTCTAGTATCACTAGTTCCTTGGAACAATTTTTTTATCTTAGGAAAATATTCACAGGTAAAAAGTAGGTCTTTCGCCTAGAATGAGACCCTGCATTGAGGGTAGAATATTTTGAATGCGTGTGAGGGTAGGGATTACAAGCAAGTGGAAAAAAACATGTCCTTATTTTTTTTTTCTTTTATTAATTTTTTCATTAAAATATTTCTTTCTGGATCACTCTGAAAGAAAAAAATTTAGTGTGGGAAGAGGGGAGCGTGATACTGCAGGTGGGTAGAGATCTTGACTTATTTTTAGACAGTACTTAGAGGTACTTTATCAGCTGAGGAACTGCATTGACCTTCTACATCCATAGGTTTCGAGAAATTTAATTCTTCTGAAAGCACACGTGGTAGCTTTGATGCTTCATTCAAATGTGAAATTGTTAGAAATGCCAGGAAAGTGTGTTTTTAATAATTTATGGACACTTGATGAAAAATATAAGGAATGGCTAACAGCATCTAGTGATCATCGCAAGGCAAAGTGGATTTTTTTCATTGTATCAGATTTTCTTCTGAAATAGAATTTTATAAATGACTCCATTTTTTTAATATTAGGGATATTACGAATATTCGGCGAAGTATAATTTTAATCAGAAAGTCGTTTTCTCATCGACACTTTTTTTTTTAAATGAGTGAAATGTTTGCTTTCTGTTTTCACTTTTGTTGGGTTTTTTTATTCCATAGCGGCAATTAACATTATTTAATTGCCGCTATGATTTTTATTGGGAATTTAACAGCGTTTCTGATATATTTTATCTCCACTTTTTCTTTTAAAGTTATACAGATAAATAGATAACTGGTAAAATAGAAAATTGAATTTCTACGTTGCAAGTTTTGTCTTAAGAATTTAGGAAAATTTTCTGTTTCTCTTTTGCTTTTTTGATTAATTGTGTTTTTTTTATTTATTTTGATAGCATATTTTAAAGAGCTTCTTTTTCGTCATTTTTTCTAAAAATCCGGCGATGGGAAGCACTTAAAGTGTATTTTTCAACGTTAAATTTTTCTTATAAAAATTGAGAACGATTTTTTTGTTTTTATTTCGTTTGGCTTTCCCATTTTTTTTATTTTTTAAAAAAAGCTCTTGTATTTGTTATGATACGGCAATTTTAAAGAGCGCTGCTCTTAGACATTTTTAAATCGATGTATCGCTATTTATCGACTTAATGCACATATCGGCACGCCGATATAATTACTTTTATTTTAAACAATGCATCAGGAATCTGATCTAAGACGCTCGCGGTTTAACGTGCTAGGATTCTTGCCTATGCTAACACTATCACCGCTCTGACGAAGACTATTTTGATTTCGTCTAGCTGCGAAGATGTTGATTACATTTTTAGCTACGAAGATGATGTTCGTTTCGTGATATTGAATAACGAAGAGTGAGGATCAGCGTTGAAATATAGAACGCGATGCATAGTTTCCTTATGCGCCATTTTTGACCTTGGGATTTTACGTTTCTTGAAGATTATTTTCAGCGGGACTTATCTTGCGTTCGCTGTGCGTTTTATTTCGACTTGATATAACATTTCAAATAAATTATTTTCAGTGAGACTTTTGCTACTTAGCGATCGTTGCGCATTATTTCGTCACTTTTTTTTCTGTTTGGATTTAACGTTGTCAATTATTTTCAGCAGACCCACTGTTACTTGGCGATCGTTGCTCAATCGCTGTTATCTTAAATTTTCGTTCTGAACTTAATATATTACTGAAACGAAATCATGAATTAAAAAAAAAAGATTCTTTATTGATTTTTTTAAAAGTGATACAATTTAATATTTTATATATTTTGTATTTAAGTAATTTATATTTTGTCATAGAAAGTAAATTTTTTTTAAAATTTATTTAATTCACGTTGCACCTCAGAGCCCAAGGAAGAAAACTGAGATTGGCACAGTAGGCCTTGGCCCTCTATGGGCTGTCGCGCCATTGAGTTTAGTTTTTTAAATATAATAATTTGATTAGTTTTTAAACCAATAAATTTTCAGTCCCTTTTAGTTTAAAAAAATTAGAACAAAGCCTACATTTAATTAATTTGCTTTTATTTTTGAGGAAATTGAAACAGAATTTGCGTTCTTTCTTTCTTTTTTTTTTTTAATTTGGTTTTTAGTTAAAATGACTAAATTTTTCTAAATTAAGTAAAAAGTTAAGCAATGTTTTAACGCTTTTCAATAATTTAACAATAGTGCTCTTAAATATAGAATATATATATTTTTAAAAATCCCTTCAATACATGTTCGTTTAATAATTTGTCAGATAGTGAGTATTATTTTTAAACATTTAAATCTTTAGTCTATTTCATTTTCAGAAAGGAAAATAATAATAAATAAATAAAAAAACTTACATTAAAACCATTTGACCATTAGTCAATACAACTTTATTATTTTAAATAAGTAATTAACAAAAGCCTAACAATGTTTCAAAAGCACATTTTTTTTTCAACAAATAATTTAAAAAATGTTTTATTTAAGTGGACATTTTCTTTTTTTTTTAATTTGTAATGTATGTAAAATATTTTGTAACAGTTTTATTATTATTTTTAAAAAATCTAAGTCGTTTTTAATTTTAAAAAAAATTTAAATAAAGCTTGTGTTTGTTTTTACTTTAAGGCAAGTCAATCCTTAAGACAGTCTTAAGTCAATCCATCTTTATTTTAATTGAAAAAATTAAGCAATGCTATTGATGTTATAGAATAAATTTTTTTTTTAGAATTAGCATTTTCTTTTGTTATAAATTTATTTTTGATTGATTTAAAGATCTCTCATTGATAAATTTCAAACATATGTTAAATTGCGATACATCGCGATGTCTGACTGACGATCAATCACGATATAAAATTTCTTACAATGCCCAGGCCTATTTTTACATAAACAATAAAAATTCTTAAGGATTTTTTTTTAAAAATGTTGTTTGATCACTGGGTAGGTGGCCGTTTTATTTGGCCAGATATTTGACTATTCGACCAAATCACTATTCATTATTCCCTATTTTATAATAAGTAATATATATATATATAAACCATATTTGCATCCAATTTTCATTGCCTTTGATTTATTTGACAAATTATTGTTTTATAATTTCAGACAATACTTTATTAAGAACAAATTTTTTTTATCGTCGATTAATTTAGTTCCTTTAATTTCTATACAAGACACAATACTTTTTAATTGGAGAAATTCTAATTCCATCTTTTTTTATGAATGATGTTTCTGATTCCACTATGTTTTGCTGTTTTTTTCCCTTCATTCACAATAAATTTTGTACTTAATGAATTATTTCATTTCATTTTCAATTTTTAGATGGAATTTTTTCATTTTTATTTCAATTGATCATTACATCCTGCCTTGTCCTGTGTTTCAATATTTATGTTAGCACTTATTTTAATTATCATTTCTGTTTCTCAATTCTTAATTTTAATTAATAAGTTTTCCTTGTAGTTTATTTATTTCTTTTTTCCTGATTATTAGGTACTGAATATATTCTGATTTTAATCATTAAATTTTTTATATTTTGTGATTTTAATAAATCTTTAGCTTATTATAATTAGATTTTACTTGGTTTAAAATAATTGTCTTAACCTCAATAAACTTATATTTGTTAGTTTCTTTAATGTTAGTTTCTTTTTATTAATTTAATGAATTTACCATCTTAATTTATATATTTCTATCTGTTAACACAATTTCTTTCTATTTTTAAAATAGAAAATTTTAATGTTTAATCTGAATTCTTTGAGTTTTTCTTTATATTCTTAAAAGCTATGTGAGGTGATTAAATGCAATTTAATCTTAATTAAATACAGATTATTTGTATTAAACATTTCTTTATTTAGTTTTTTTTTAAATTTTTTAAAGGATGACTGAGTTGAAGAAAAGCTATTCCATTTTTTTTATCTATTATTATTAATCTATGATGTTTTATTTGATAATAAATAATCATTTTTAAGGTCCTTAATTTCTACAAAAAAAGTCCTTAATTTTTTTGATAAAAGTCCTTAAAAGTGCTTAATTTTTGCTTTGATAAAAGAGTGGGAACCCTGTTCACCCCATACTAACCTTTACTACTACTTGCATTTACAGTTGGTAATATGCTTACATAAACACTAGACATAATTAAAGGAGCAATTGATACACCTTTATCTTATAACAATCGAAATGAGAACAAAAAAATCACTTCTTTCCTTTATGATGAACAAGAAAAGTATCTTTAGAATATAATTCTGCAGAAAAAAAAGGAGAAAAAATTGTTTCCTTTCGTATTTTTTCCAGCTATTTTATTGCTTCAACTCTTTCTTTACTCTGTTTTTTAAATTTAAGATATATTAATATGAAGATGCAGAGTATAACAGTTTTGGTTACACCTATCATTTCAATTAATGTTATTATAATGCTTTTTAAGTTTATTGTTGAGTTTTTGAGAAAACAGTAACTTCGTTAAGTCATGAAAAATTCGTGGAATTAGTCGTGAAAAAGTCATGATGCAGCAGATGAAATGTAGCAGATACCCTGTAAATAAATACCCTTTCATAACTGTCTTTTGTAAGCTAATGTTGCTTAACAAGAGGTCCTTAAATCAGTAGTTGATTGGCTTTATTCGAAATAAACAATTTTCACCTTACTATTGTTACAGATGGATTAGGTGTCTATCACACTGATCAACCTTTTAACGAAACTGTTCAACCATTGTCCAATCATCTGCCTCATAACACTTCTTGGAAGGTTCTCCTACCTCCCATATCTGCACGCAACAGTAACTCTTGCATTTCATCTACAAATGGAGATTCTGCTCACTCGATTTATTCGCAGTCGGCCCTCCGACACGCGTCTTCGTCCCATTCATCACAGCATCCAGGAGACTGATACGAAACCTGTGTCCTCAGTTTTACAAGTTGTCCTATAGACAAGCTCCAGATTATGACACTGCAGTTAAGTTAAAATACGCCTTCAGAGGTATGGATTTGTAACATTTTACTTTTAAAAATATAATGAGCATGACTAAAAATTTATGTAAACTCTTGCTTACAGAATATGCATGATCATATGAATGATTTTCAGGGTGATCTGTGGGGGAGAGGAGGATTTATTTTGTCAAACTATGAAAAAAGATATTGCTGAAAAACAGGGTATGTAGCATTTGTAAGAGATACTTAGAGGTTCTTATATTTGGTTTTTAAAAGCCCTTAAATGTTTTTTTTTTTTGAGATGACAATTTTCAGTGAAAATGAACCACTCATGGGTAGGCATTCACATACACTGAGAACTGGGTACGCATTCCATACAAACACATTCATTAAGCTTGTAATAAATGCTTAATTTTTTTATAGTGTTTATATTTTTTTTTTTTTTGCAATGATAATGCTCGCAGTTATACATTCGTGTACACTGAGCAGGATTCATTGAAAAGGATAGTATCAGGATTTGTAGTTGTCCTGATATTTATGATTTTCATGATTAAAAATTTGTCCTGATTTCTAATTTTTAGCGTTCTGTCCTGATATTCCTTAATTTATTTTTCTTACTCACTCTGACTCACTTACTACATTCAGAACTTTCAATTTCGATGAACACGAGATTTGAAAAGAATCATCTGATTTTTTTTAATTACTTTCATTTGAACAATTAAGAAAAACTAGTCTTCTCAATATCAAAAATGGTGAAAGCTAGTAGTTGAGAAAGTGAAATTCTAAACAAAACTGAAATGGAGTTAGCTACTGCTTCTTTATCTTCTCCCCAACAAAATGAAGGAAAAAAAATCATGAAGAAAAAAATTTAAAAGAAAGTAACTAACAGTAATTCTAAGATGAAATACATATTTTTACATAATTCAATAAGGTAAATATTAATTTAAGGAGTAGAGTTAGCTACTTCACATTAAATATAGTTCTAAAATTGTTTAAAAAATAGTTTTTATGGGGCTAATAAAATCAATAATTAGGTTTTTTTGCCAAAAATAAATTGTTTATTTCACCATAATAAAAATAAGTTATTTATTATCATGATTATGTAAAAAGTTTATTAATGTCTTTACTTTACAATGCTTTAATTTTAAATGTGGTAATTTATAAGAAAGACTGTCAATAATAGGTAGAAAAAAAAATTTCTTTTATGTGCTTAAAAATATTTTTTGAGCGTTTAAAGGGTGCTTATTTTTTATTGGAAAATTTTGATCAAGCACCCTGGAAAAAAATTTGATTGTAACAAAAATGTATACCAACTCGAAAAAGTAATTTTGAAATGTAGTACTTTCAGAAATGAGGTATCAGAAAGATGGAAAAAGAGAGTCCTCTTTTTATTTTTAAAATATACATTTTTAAAGTTTATTTTAACATTTTTTAATTACTTATGCCATATTGACTCACTGTCTAAAAATATTTTGAAAAAGTTATTGTAACTTAAAAAAGCAGAATAATATTTGGATAAATTTCAACCTGAAAAAACTTCCTTGGAATTATTAGACTCAGTGAATTTTCTGCTTCATTATCTGTAGTTTGTTCCTAGAACATAATCTTACTTGTACAAATTTGTTATTAATATAATATAGCAGTTGTTTTACTTTGTTAATAAAACCATAATTAAACCAAAATAGTTTGAGTTTAATTTTGGGCACCCCCAAAAAATTAAACTCCTGATTGTTCTAGCTCGGTTTCAAAACAAAACCTTACATGTATGGATTGTTCTTTATACAACATAATGGACATAACCAAAAAAATTTAAATTCCTGTTTATCAGTGGTTTGGTTTTAGAACAAAATTTTTCATATATAAAATTGCACTACTGAAAATAATGTAAACTTATGATTATTATGGTTTTCAGGACCTTTGTGTATCAAAGGCTTTAGCGAGTTTTATTAATATTTTGTCTGGAATCTTTTTTTTCATGTGTATATAAAATTGTTTTTTTTTCTCTTCTGATTTGATTTTTGGACAAATGATTGTATGCGTAAAATTGTTATTAAAGTTGTATAATGGGTTTGATCAAAGACTCCTGGTTATTTTTGTTTTGTTCTTGTTAGAACAAAATCTTGCATGTATAAATTGTTATTAACACAACATCATGGGTGTAACAAAAACGATTTGAACTCCTGATTATCTGGGGTCTGGTCTTAGGACAAAATTTTTATCTATGTAATTAACCTTCTATAAGCACAACTAAAAATAATGTAAACTTCTGATTATTATGGTTTTTAGGACCAATGTGTATCAAAGTGTTTAGTAAGTTTTATTGATGTTTTGTCTAAGGAAGATCTTTCCCACAATATTTCATTCTAGTGAATTCTGCACCATGACATTTTGAATCTGCGTCTTATAATATTTTGTTCAAAAGAGATAACAATATTTAGTCAGGAGTAGTTCTGTCGAACCATATTTTTTTCTTGGGGAGATTTTGCCTGACAATGTTTTTAAACGACCACATTTATTTACCAGTCATCCCATGAACTTCAATTTTATTTTGTAATTTTTTGATGATGATTAATTCTTTTTGAATTTAAAAATCTTTCTTAAGAAACTGTTAGTAATAAATGGTTTTGATTATATAAAACACACTTGAGTTACCAACAGGGTTTAATAAATTTTAATTTGGTCACAATAACAGTTATACTGGTTACACCTAAAAATAATTTTAAATTATCTTTTCAAACATAATTTTATCTTTACAACTTTCGTTATTTGTGATAGAAATTTATTAATTATTTTTTAGTGTATTGAATTTAATAATGCCTGCACTTAATTTATTGTTTGTGACTTTATTTAAATTATTAGAGACTGTACTCATTTTTTCAGTAGTAATTAATTCAATGGCTTAGAGTGTACTTAATTTAGTTACAAAATTAAGTCAGAAACTGTCATAAAGTTCATATGGTAATTTTTATTCAGAAAAGTACTTTTAGTCTAAAGCCATTGAAGGCATGGGAATCATCCCCTCTGCAGATAATCAAAGGAGCGATGGCATGTCTTTGGATCAGCCTCAGGGGTGTTTCCCAGACTGTCACCAATAGCCCATTGTGCAACTCCATTGCAGCTTGAAAAAGTACCTTACTAAAACTATTGTGTAATTTAAATTTTAGAAGAAAAATGTTGGAGGGTTGTTTTACCAAAAATGCTCTCATGAACAATTTGAAAATGTGACTTATAATTATATTGCTCCAAGCTCTATATCTTTTTTTTTTTTTTTTTTCGGTTTCAATATTTTAGACTTCTTTTTTAAATACTGTAAAAGTTTTTTTTCTGCTTTATTTTTATTTTTAAAAAATTAATCAAGTAACATTAAAAAAAAAAAATCAAGGTTTATTCCTACTTAGGTCAACAAAGAAAATTTTTTATTTTAGTTACTTTTTATTATATAATTACAATTTTTTATCCCATATAAAACTAAGATTAATGAGTGGATTAATGTTTAAAAAAAGCTGTATTGACATCAAGTGTCATCATCCACTACAAGTTTTAAAACAAATGCATTTGAAGTTGAGTGGATAAATAAAAAGATATTTTATTAACGATTGAAAAACAAGATATATAAATATATTTATAGGGAGAGTTTGAATTAATGGTAGGAATTGAAGGAAAAAAAAAGGCTTGTGGTAACAGACAACTATTAAAGTATAAATTTGGTGACGTGAACCACACGTGCTACCACGTAATATTCTTTATTGAATTTATCTGACAGCGAATATAAAATAATTAAATATTTAAGTTTGCGCAAGAAACCATTTATTTGTACAAATAATAGTTATAAGTTAGAAACTGTCACTGATGTTTTCTTTGAAATAGGTGAAAAACTGAATAGCTTATAGCTGAATATTTTTTGTGTACATTTTATTTTGAATAAGCAAAATTACAATGGCTTAGAAGTTTTTTAATGGGTTAAGATTGACCTGATATCTATTAAAGACTCTGTCCATTTTCAGTTCAAGTTCTTCATTACACATCTGTTTGTTAGATTATTGTATTCTGTTCTGTGCAAATTTTTTAATACTGTTATCACTATTACAGTTATAGCACTGGAGATATGTGTGCTAGTCATTTATATCAATCATCCCCCACATACAATCCTGTCGAGAGCGTACACAATAACAACAATCTCATAGTCAGTACAAAAATTATGTTGATCTCTCCCTCCTTGTTATGTGTGACGGATACAAGGTAGATCCGAAAATGCTTTTTAGGTTTTCTATAAGTTGATTTTTCTTCTACTTGTTTCATTATCATTATTGTTCACTTATATTTTTGTTTCCTTCTTATTTCAGGAGCGGTCGAGATCCTCCTGTTCATAGGTACAGTTCCCCTGATCTTGCTATTCCTCATGAAAACACCTCAAATTCTCTCCATCACTTCAAACCACCACCTTATCCTTACATGCAAAGATCTAGCTGCAATACACCTGATTTAACTAGAAACAGTGTATTTTAATTTTTAACATAATTATTATTACAATTCGTAATCAATTTTATTTCCTTACTGTTAACCGCTTTCACTGATTATCCCGAGTTATCTTGGGTATGTTTATATTGCAAATATTTAATATCACGAGTAAACTCGGGCACGTCAAAATTCGTCAATATGTTTTTATCACCTTTTTATTCGGACGGAAGCAAAACAAAAAATAATAATAATCTGCTGTGATTGGAAGTTTGCCAATTTTCGTTTGAGAGTTTTGCTGCTTGCGGAGCTGCAGACGTGTTTTGTATGCACGATGGTTGAGGAATTTACGTAGAAAAAAAGTGGTGTTCGT